TGAGAAGTTGTAACTGTAAAACGTTTATTTGATGGGCATTCTACAAATGGTTGTGAACTAAGCATAAAGTGGTCTTAACTGAACAATTCATTTTGGATATCGGACAAATAGAGCTATATTAGCTTCCAGTGAAAATAATGAAAAGGGGAAATAGAGCAATGACTGAGAGATATGATCCAAAAGTTGTTGAGTGCAACTTATCCTATTATTCCGATCTAATTTGATATATCATTCTCTGAGCTAATAACAAATCAAAATTTACATGCTTAGAGTCCATCGATTTAACGTAATCATAAGATGCTAAAGCGTCTACAAATGATGGCCACCAAGATGGTCAATGGATTGCATTACATTATCTATGAGGAGAGATTACGATCACTGGGAGCATATTCTTCCCAGTACTGCCGAATTCGGGGAAACTTGATTTGGACTTATCAAATACTGCAGAACCCAAACCATCCATGTCGGCCGCTGCTAACGTTGTTAAACAGTGTCCACCTTAGAGGGCACTGTTTCAAGTTATTGATTCCAAATTTTCGACTGGAATGCCAGCGCCAATCTTTTGCAGTCCGAGTATGCAGTACTTGGAACACTCTTCCATCTCATGTCGTTTGTGCACCAACAATTGAATCTTTCAAGCAGAGACTCGATTAAACTCTGGCAAACCTCGGATTCCTACACAATTGAAAACGCGAAGTTGTTGCAGACTTAATTATCTGTTGTATCCTACTTGGAATTCTACGTGACGAATGACTTTTTTCCCCGATAAACGATCCAATTGTGAAAATATTCTATGGGAACAAGAGAAACATAAGCTTGTAAGTAATTCCCATATTTAAACTTTAACTTTGATTACGGGAAGAAATCATTGGGATGCGCGTTGGATTATCTTACCTGTATTTCAATGACATAATCCAGTCCTGGGTTTAGAGACTGCAAAAATTCCAATTGCTTCGGAATGGATAGAGTTTTCTCGCTATAATTCGGAAGATCATCAATCACAAATCCATGTTCTAAACATTCTCGGGAGTTGAGCTCGTCGGCCATCATTTGAAACATCAAACTGTCGTCTATATCCTTTCCATTTGACATGAGGCTTTGAATGATTCTTCCATAGTTATCCTTTGCCCGCAAATGACGTAATACAGTCTCAGTTCCTACACAAAAATGAAACAGGGATACCTCAGCATTGGTTTATGCCATACAAAGTTCAATGGTGTCCTGGGGAAGGGGGAACCACTTACCACTAACTAAGCGACAACCCCATTCGGCACATATTTTTTTCGCCAAAGCGGTCTTTCCTGTGCATGGCTTCCCAATAATCAGGAAGCGTGGAACCCGATCTTTCCAAAGCTGAGAGGTCAACTGAAAGAGAAATTCGTCGATTATTCATGATAGATTACCTCAGCGAATCTGGCCCCGCAGTGGCAACAACACTTTTGCTGTTCACTCTCAGGCGCCCTACGCAGCGCTGGAGTGCGAATGGCAACTTCACTGGTGTTTGGTTGTCCGGCCATATCATTCCCGCCGCTAGACTTTGATAGAATAGATGGCACAGACCCCATGGTTCCCAGTGCTGTCGCCATCCGATTCTGTTCCGTATCAGAAATTTGACTAGCATTGCTGGTCGTCGAACGGTATTGTGTTCGCAAATGAAATTCGCCAGCGAAACCCTTGTATTCGGTCGGCATTTGGCGATTTTCAGAACCAGTATCCTCACTAGCAACAGCTCCTCCAACAGCAGAACGAGGTGTTTCTACGTTCTCAAATGATCCAACTGAATCCACTACCCTCGTAGAAGATAACACGTCCGTATCAGGATTCGGTTCTTGAGGAAAGGCAAGAGTGGGAAGGTAATTCTTGGGACGGGGTGCTGAAGCTTTCAAGCCGCACTCATCAATGGTTGCACGGATTGCAGCAATCAAAGCCTAGTAAAAGGATCAAGGGAAACTCAGTAGAGGAATTTAAAATTTAGTTTTTCACAAGTATATATTATTTTGTTCCTTTATTTTCAATCAAAGTAATAAAAAGACACTCGATTAAATTACATAAGTATATAATTAATAATTTTCTTTTATTTGGTTGATACAAAAATGTGTGAACAATTTTCAGGACAATGAGCTAGGTCAATTAATGTATTCTAGTCAAAAGCAATAAAGAAGAAAATGGAGCCAAAACGGCAGGATTTCAAAACACTGATTATAAAAACAAATAGACAGTAAAGTGGTGCTTTACGCCGCACAAACAGAGGTATAGACGACTTCCGGTTACCTCGACCAACTATTCCAATTCAAAAGAACAAGCTCGGTGCAACGCGAGGACAATAATATTAAGGAAGATATAGGCGCTAATCATCGAGGTTTACTTTCTATTACATAAACTCAGAACAAATCTGATACTTAAATACCTGATAATGATGGCAAACACTGGAACACTCCGTTTGTCTGGTGATCGTGACGACAAAAATAAAAAAAATATAGTCATGGAGTCACGTTAGGACGGTATCGATGGTATTGCAGAAAAATTCAAATACTGAATCAATCGTGGGCATTGGACTTCTACAGCAAGTATGTTCATTGATCCGAAACTCATTTTGCCTTCACACATTTGTCCACGTTAAGTTTATCTTTTTCAATCTTCATACAGGTAGAGCCAAGATAATGCATTTGGAACTGTTTAGATACATATAACTTGCTTTTATTCAGTAAATTTCAGGTATTAGATTCTTCCTGTCCCTTGTCCAGCGGTGGTAGACCACATGGGTCCTCGAAAAACAGAAATCGAAATGATTGCACGGCACTCCTAGGTTCATCATGTTATAAACTGAAAATATAAGTTTATAAAAGAGCCTAGAGAATGAAATGGGGTGAAAGTTCTCCATCTTCCGCTGGAATTCGGGCTTAACGTTCTAATCTTCATCTTGCTCTTCTATCCAAGTAGGCGGCTAAAAGACAGCAATTGAATTAGGTAAACGCTTATATGTGGTAATCTTCTTATTACAGTTTGACTTAATGGATGTGGTCACAGACAGTTGATTGAGAGCACGCGAAATATCAATTCCACTCATATGATGTTACTTGTCTTATTGGGGTGTATGGGATACCCGGTAGGAGTAGCACCTATGACTCGGAGGGCTGTCGGCCCCTTTGGGGCATCCACCGTTCTTTGGTCTCCACTGGGCGCTCAGCTCTCACCTGTGGCTCCCAGAAGCTGTTTGGATACAA